CAAGCTGCTTTAACTCTGATTTGTATAAAACAAATCCCCTGCTAGCCGGCATAAGCTGAATGTAAAGCCGAGATGATGCTTCCTGGGGCAGAGAAATCTGCATTTTTGTTCATTTTTGTTTCATTCATTCTCATTTCAATTTTTGGAAGACCTTCATTTGCAGACCTTCATTTTTACACAGGGCGAGTTTCAGAGCATAGCAGCTGGGCTCTGCAAAGCAGAAGCACCTCCAGTCTGCGTTGGGATCCTGCCAGCATCTCCTCTCTGTTTTACAGTCAAATAATTCCCTATTTCTTGTGAGCCTTTGCCCAACTCTCTCCAAATTCCTTTCTAGTTTACTGGTTGACTTTACTGTTAATTACAGTTCTCCCTCTTGGCTTTAAGCGGCTTAAATTTCTAATGCTAAAGTTGTGGTAGGATCATTACTAGGTGGGATAGGAATGTTACAGACACATCTCTGCATTTCAGAAGCCCAGATATAAAGGTATATGTGCAGCTAGAATCTAAAATGTGTTGTTTATTGGAGTATATTAACCAATTAATATTTAGTAGACAATTCTGTGGGACCTGTGGCTACAGGATACCTGCTTGGATTGAGAAGATGATCTGGCAGGATCTCGCTTGCCTAACAAAAGCATCAAAATTATGCCCCAAATAAGATGATCAGAAACACCTGCCCATGTGGGGTGGTGACTGCTGAAGTCAGGAAGAGTCAGGCTAGGAGACCTGGGCTCCTTACAACCCGACCTGCAGATCCATCATCTCCTTTGGGCCAGAGCTGCAAGGTCAGGGAGGTGGCTGGGTGGAAAACTATCTCAGAAAAACAACTGGGAAACCTTGCCTTACATTTAGTTTGGTTTAAGCTGCTGTGGAAATTCCTCCTCAATTTCTTAGACAAGCGTGAAACAGATGCTTTGAAAACCTTCAGAGACAAAGCCTGTCAGTCTAAAAGTTTCTAAAGATCTAATAGTGTGTGGTCATTTTTCCCACTTTGGAGCAGCAAAACTGGGATTATTTAAACTTGGAATTAGCTTTTTTTCTTTCTTTTTTTTTTTTTTTGTTCCCCAGCACCACTCCCAAATGAGCAGGATTTTTCTGCTTGTGCTGATGGGATGAGACGTTGATGCCAAGATCATCCCAGCTAAACAAGAGGTGTACGCTGTACGCACTGCAGGTAATCGTGAAAGTTGCTTTCAAGTTTATTGCTCCCATAGAGTTTTGCCTCGGGCGTTTTTTTGCAGTGAGCTGACAGAGCTCTTTCTAAGCACTTTGGTCTTCATATTCTCCCTCTGTCAGGATCTTCGTGTGGGCGAGAAGAGGAGGAAACGAAGCCAAAGCTTTTGATGAGGAGTGTTTGCAAAAGAAGCTAAAGCTTTGCTTGGCCCTATCTTGGGTGGGGATTTGAGCTGGGCCTTGAGCTAGTGACAACAGCAAGATTTATCTGATTTTTCTCAATACCTGGATGATGTTACTATGTGAGTTGCCAGTTTCCAGTGTAACAAGATCCCATGTGGGTAAGCGGCTTTGGCGTCAGTTCTGTTCCCCGTGCAGCCATGTGATGCAATGAACACATTGCTCAGCCATGTCTGGAGCAAGCAGGGATGCAGAAGTTCGTGATGCAATGAACGCATTGCTCAGCAATGTCTGGAGCAAGCAGGGATGCAGAAGTTCATCCCTCCAAGAGAAGAACGGCATTTTCTCTAGGAAGTGTACACAGGCACCGCAATGAAGCTGCTGCTTTTTTTCGCTGACAGTCACTCAGATCCTTGATTCACTCTGTTCCTAGCCTCCATGGATCCTCTAGGTTTTGGTGAGCCATGAAACCACGCTTCCCAGGCTCTAATGAGTCTTTTTTCCCGTGCTGTCTCTCAGCGTTGTCTCTTTGCGTGAAAGCGAATGACTTCTCCAGGAGGTGAAGCTGTTCTGGGGGGTCTGTCTGACCGTGTGTCCAAGCCTACTGCTTTTCTTCGGAGTACAGCAGCTGGAGAGGATACTCACACCTGCCCTCCGCATCAGCACAGCCTCCTGTTTTGAGGAGGGCTGCAGTTCCCACCCTGTGCGTTATCCCTGTTTCTTGTGCTTTAACGTGACTTTTGCTAAATATACAGTGACCTCTTCTCTGCCTTGAGATCTTCGTTCACCTCTTCTGATTTCTCCAGCCCTGTCATCGATGCTTGCCTTTGACTAATATATTCACGGCAACTAATCTGAGCAACCTTGGGATTTGTACTTTGTGAGTCGTGCCCTGAGGAGGTGGAGGAGAGCCTTCTGTCTGTGCCACTCTTCAGCTCTTCACAGCCTTTAGGGTCCAGTGCCAGCTCTGGACCCTCACCCTGTAAAAGGTGAGGATAATTCCTGTGGCAGGATCTCCTCCCGTGGCTGTGCCTTTGGTGGGGAAGCACTTTTGAGGAGCAGTAGAGGGTTAAAACCATGTTTCTGAAACCAGCCTAGGGGAAAAGTCACATGCGCAAGGGAGATTTTGCAAGTTGGTGCTTGCAGCTGGGGTAATGAGAGGGAGTGCGGGGGTGCAGCCTTCTTGCCTTGGGTGAGTTGTGCCTGGTTAGTCCGTGGTCCCCGGGAGACGCAGGGAAGAGAGTGATCTTCCTCGGCAGAGGCTGGGGCTGCAGGACCGCAGACCTCCCCACTCGGCGGTGGGACAGCGTGGCACCTGGGAGTGCTGAGTGGGATGATGGCAGATAAAGGACGGTGAGGAGGAGGAGGAGGAGGAAGAGGGAGCTGATCTGGCTCCCCAGGACCACAAAGTGAGCCGGACCAGGTAAGCCTGTGCCAGCCGCTCTGGAAATGAAGCAGAAGGACTTGCTGAACGTTTCTCTGCTGTTTAGCTAGGGCTTGGAGGTGTCCTAAGAAGAAGGTCCATAGCCTGAAGGAGGCAAAGTCACCAGAGAGACATTGGCATTGCATAAAGAATAAGAAGAGATGTAGCGAGACACAGAGCCTGAGGAGTGCAGATGAAAGGATGCTCCTTGCGTTAGCACGGGAGGCAGCAGAGGAGATTTGGGGGGGACTCGTCTCCAAAACGGAGAGACACAGAGCCTGAGGAGCGCAGGAGATGAAAAGATGCTCCTTGCGTTAGCATGGGAGGCAGCAGAGGAAGATTTGGGGGGGACTCGTCTCCAAAACGGGCAGTTATTCTGCAGTAAAAGGCAATAGAGCCAAACGAGGGCTATGCTGCATGAAGAGGTGAAAGCAAAGCTGCTTTTGCCAACGAGCTTGTCCCAGCTGAGGAAGGCTGTTTCCCTCCTGCATCTCCCCGATGGGCTGGGGAAGGCTGAGCTGCCCTGACCCTGCTGCACCCTTCACTGTCCCTTCCTGGGGACTGTCCTCCAGGCACTCAAAATTCTCGACATCTAAGCCAGAGAGCCTTGATTCACCTCTAACTTGACATGACAGCAGCAGCAATGGGGTGGTAGCTTTTAATTAAGTTTTCCTTTTGTTTCCTCTGTTTTTTCACTCTTTGCTTTGCTACTGTTTTGTGGGGGCTTTTCTGTCTTGTTTTTCATTTGTCTTTCTGTTTGATGCTAACCTGAAGGGATTGAAGGCAAAAAGGGGAAAGGAATGAGAAAATTCACCACCTGAATCTGCCTGTTGGTGCTGGGAGATGTGCTCTGTAACATGTAGTGGCTCATGCTCTGCAAGGAGATCACACTGGAGAGCCACGCTCAGCATACGGCAGGATCGCTTCTCGCCTGCGCTGGTGAAGAGCGGGTGCTGTGCCCATTGTACACACACACACTGCACACTTCTTGTACAACGTGTACCATGGCTTGATTCCTTTAAGTGTGAGTTTCCAGCCCTCTTCAGGTTTTTTTTCTGCAATCGGAAGAACCTTTCGTGTTGTTTCTCTTGCCTCAGTTTCCTTTCTGACAATCCTTCAACCAGTGACTGTCCTGGCTTTGTGCAAGGGGGTAATTGCAGCAACAACCATCGGTCAAAAATAAAGCAATCCTCTTGGGAAGGAGAGCAGAGGAGCTCTGTGAGGAACTCTTATACCAAGAGACAGCAACAGGCTCCTGGTGCAAAAGTAAGACTGAGTGGAGGTTAAAAAGTAAATTGTAATTTTGGAAAGCCAGCGTGGATGCAGCTGAGCCCTGTGAGTGGAAGATAATTGAAAAGTAAACTCCAGAGTCTTCCAAGCATTTGCTTTGGTAACCACCCACAAGTGCTGGCAGTAGGTTAGAGACCTACGTCAGCAGCGTTTGCCTGGAAAACCCGTGGGCACGGTGCCTGCTGCAGGGACGTGCCCCGTCGGCTTCTGGCACTGCCCACGGTGGAGAGGAGGGGGAAAGGAGAGCAGAGACCCTCAAAGGCTTCGCGCTGCTGGGTGAGAGCTCCTGCTTGCCTCTGCTTTCAGCGGATGCATTTTTCTTCCTTATCCGCACGGCTTCCTTCGTGTGGCCGGGAATTGTCCACCATGTCAGTGAGCGGGGTGCTTCGCTTCCACGGAGGGGCATTTACACCAGCTCCGCTTTCTCCTGAAAGTGCCCGCTGAAAGCAATAGCGAAAAGCCTGTTGACTTTGCAAGGAGAAATCCTGCCTGTTCCTTGACTAATTGTTTACAAAATATGAATATTTAAGGATGTTGAGATAATCCAAGGTATATTTAAAGATAACTTTTCCATCTATTAACAACAACAAAAAGGTAATCGCAGAGGCTCACCTTTTGCTGCATACTGCACTCGTGGCTGGCTGACACCTACCTAGTGACAACATCCACAGGGAGTGGGGTCCAAAGAGCAGAGTACACCCGAGTGGTCTGTGCTGTTACCCTTTATTTGCTGTCTCTGCAAGATTTGGGATTTTCTTTTCCTCTTTTCAGGGCTACAAAATGCCTCCTGGCTCATGGAAAGCAGGGTCTCGAGGAAGCCGTCAGTGGGAGTGTGAATGAGGATTTCACAATCCGCTCCCAGCCAGGAGAGCAAGCCGGCTGCCTGCTGCCTGGGGGCTTGGCAGTGAGAGATAAGGCAGATATACAAAGTGCTGAATTTCTGACAATACGACATAGAGTCCCTCGAGGAGAGGTACCTTCAGCATGGCCCATAAAAGCCAAGCTGGTGGAATTGAGGAAAACGGGTCGCTTTCCTCCGTCCTCTGCTGTAAGAGTGATTTAAAGGAAGGATCCCTGCAGCGGGTGAAAGGTAAGCGAGCAACTTGTTGATGATAAGGAGAAAGGCAGTACTGAGTACAGTGCCCTTAAAATAACAGAAGACAGATTTTTCAAGATGCTCATTAACATCATCTCATTTGCAAAAGTAACTGAACATTATGGATGTTTCGGCATTTTGGGGAGGGGATAGAGACACTTTGACTTTTTTGGAAAGCCTGATATATAGGAATAAATGGACATCCACCTATTGAAAACCAGGACCCTGGAAGTCCTCTCCTCTTGGCCTTCAAAAGTCAAGAAATCTTTGGGAAACTTGACCTGTGCTTTCCAAGTGACTCCCTTTCCCCGTAACAATTTGTTCCCTCTCTGCAGCACTACTTCTGGAAGCGCCTGAGGTGCTGTGCAGGGACAGAAGGCAGTGCCATGGATGGCTGTTCTCACCGAGACCTCCACGCACCATTCAGCAGGGCACCCTTTTTGCTTGCTCACTTCGGGGCACCTCCTTAACGCTCAGTTTTTGCAGGAGCGAAGCAGCTCTTGTCACTCCAGCAGGCTCTAGCTGAGGTCAAGGAGCTGAGCCACTCTGCGGGTATCTCAGCTTGGCACCCAACCTGCTAGAGCTTGTGCCAAGCAACTTGCCCAAAGCCATGGAGAACACAAAAGCCAAACCCAAGGCTGAGGCCATTTGTTTTTATTCTTGCTTTATACTCACTGCCTCCGCTGCTCTGTGTCAGGAGGAGATAAACCTCAGCAAACCAACAGGACCTTGTTATCCTGGAGGTTTCAGATGCATCTACTCTTCCCTTTTTGACTCAATGCAGTCACACCCTATTGTAATGTAATTACCTCATTTCACTTGGCATCTCCTGTTCCTGAGCAGTGAAGAGATGATGAGGATGGAGGACATAAGTGGGAGAGATGGGAAAGGTGAATGCACGCTGCGTTTCATCCAGCACAGCAGTTTGGGAGAGCACTAAGCGGCAATGTCAGCAGGAGCAGCCCCAGGGGACACCTGGCTGACCCCGGATCTGCAAAGGGGAAGGAAAGCTGGGTGAAACGTTTCAGTGAAACAGGATCCCATCTGAACAAGCCACTTCCTTAGACCCGATCTCTTCCTCTTGACATAGCACAGCTTGTGTAAACTCTAGATGAATGCCAGGTGGGATGCCTGGAGATCACAGTTCTCCTGTGCCGCTCCAAGGCTGCTCTGCCTTAGCTCCCAGCAGCCTGCTCCTCAAATCTAGGGCAGGCTGTCCTCACACTTTTTAGGCTCCTGAGTGCAACTTGGGTCTCTAGATTACCTCTCTGATCCTAGCCCTAGCTGAAACTGGGGAGCTGAGCGCCTTGAGCAGAGCCATGCTGCCCAGGAGCACTGCTGGGAGTGGAGAACTGAGCGCTGGAGGACCTACAGGGCTCGTGCTCCAGGGCAGCCCTGCCATATCCCAGACAGTGGGGTTGCTTGAAAGCACTTTAATTTGCTTGCTGAAGTTTTTTCTAGTAGTGGGTGGGGTGGGTAGGCAATGGGGGAATCTCTCTAAGAAGTAGACAGCCTTTGCAACACTGAGCAGCTTGAGTCCATTGTCCTCTCAGTTAGGGATCAGTGAGGCAAGACATTCTGCTGAAGATCAGATCATCATGTTATCTCTGACTGCTCACTCCTGGAATGTGTTCGGGGTTTCCTCACTTTTTGTAGGTTGTTTCCTTACAGAGGACAACAGGCTGCTTCCAAAGCTCCTTGTGATGTTCTTAGAAATTCCCAAGGGGGGCGGTTCTGGATCCATTTAAAATACATCAGGGTGGTCTGCGTTCCTCAGCCTTCCCTTTGCTAGCTGCTGGGAGAAAGACCCATGCCAGAGCTGTGCTCATGACTCCTTTGGGCTCTTGCAGAACCCCTCAATGGCCAGGTGCTCACGGTGCTCAGCATGAACAACAACTGCTCAGCCACCTCCTTTGACATGGAGCTTTGTGCAGAGAAACTGAAGTCCCTTGGGGTTCAGGTAAGCTCCTCACCCGTGATCTGCCCTGGGGACCCTGTAGGAGTGAACGCGAGCTGGATCGGCATCATTTGCATTTGCACTCACATCACAGAGAGCTTTTATTATTTTTTTTTTGTGAGCTGGATCGGCATCATTTGCGTTTGCACTCGCATCACAGAGAGCTTTTATTATTTTTTTTTTCTTTTTTCATTTTGAAAGTCACTTGTTTCAGTTCAACTTCAGTCTGTTCCCCATGGACTGCAAGTCAAGTGTAATGATCTTGGTTTAAACCTCCGTGAAGAAACTCATGCAACACAGTGAATTGCTTGAAAGTTACTCTGATGGGATGGAGCATCCCTGGGACAATCTGTCTTGTCTTGTCCTTTGTCATAAAAAGGTGGTTTTCTTTTTTGACTTTCCCCGCACTTTCCAGGGAGATATTACTCACTGCAAATGAGGCAAGAACACAAGTTTTTGGTCTGTGACAGCTGTATGGATGAGATTGGAGGTGCACTCTGCAGGAGGGTGCTCAGGGACACATCTTTTGGTTGCAGTGCCAGCCTGCCCCCCTCCATGACTGCCCAAACTAGTTCTGATGGGACCAGGAGCCCCAAACTGGGGGCCAGCTCTAGTTTTCTGTTTGCTCCCTGAGCAGGTGGCAGCGGATCAGTGGAGAAGGTTAATCCAGGATGCTGTCCTGAAACCTGAAGTGAGACGGTACATGTTGTACAACTCCAGGGCGTTCCGGATAGCCATCGCCATGGTAAGGACAGTGGGGTCTCTCGCAGGCTTGCCATAGACGTGCACTTGCTGGGCTGCATCAAGACCTACACCTGGGGTTCTTGTGCCCAGGAAGGGAGAGAGGTTTGTGTGGGGAGGAGATGCTGGTTTTCACACAGCCTAGTGGGCTCCTTTGGAAATCCCAGTTCACAGAATTTTTGTAGATGGAGGGCAAGGCACCTTCTCCAACCCCTTGCTGGTAGCCCCACTGAAGTGGGCTCTCTGTGTCTGGATAACCAGCATATGCTGAGGTAGTAGTACCTACATCAGACTTTTTTTTTTTTTTAACTTGATTTTAAAAGTCTACAGATATTCTGGTCCTGATGCTAATTTGGATCAGTGGACCAGTCAGCTTTGGTTACTGAGGTGATTGTCTAGTCATGCTTGTCGTCATCTGGTGAGAGAAGCTCCACCAGAGACCCTAACCTTTGGTGTCTACTGTAAGGCTGATACTTCGCAGCGTGCTGAGAGTGTGATGAAATCTGCCTCCTTCATTTTAGTTGCATTTATTTTTGGGGTAGCCATTATACATGTCTTCTCCTCCTTTCACTAACGTAGGAATTGTTGCTCAGTGTTTTGAGGGTTTTGGTGCCTGTTTAGTGCAAATCAGTTATATTATTGCAAGATGATGCTGTGACGCGCTGTGCTGTACACGTCATATTTGCTTCTAGGCAATCTCCTGCCCAAATGCTTGCTATCTGAATTAAAGCCCAAATGAATTCAGTTTTGCCTGTCTTTATGCAAAGGCCAAGTTTGTCAGTCGTTAACATAGTCCTTGAGCCCAATGTCAGTGTCCACCGTTTGAATGTTATTGTAATTGAGTAGTCTCTGCACCTCCTTGAGTGCTTTGACATAGGAGCCTTCTAAATACAGGGACTATTAGAAGTATTATCAATATGCCTCAGTGAGTGCATTTCTTATCTAAATGGAAGAACTCAGTTGAAATCTTTCCTACGTATGAATCATCATCAATAATTCACTCTCTGTCTTTGACTAGTAATTTTTCGTAATAAACTAGGGTTCACTCAGTCCTTCTAGTCCTTTCTTTCCCCTGTTTATTATTGGAAAGAACTTTTGTCCTTTCTCACTCTCTGAAAAGCTCGTGTGACTTGATTTATGGCAAGATATTACCCTGGGAGAAGGGATCAGTAGTTTTCTTCTTCCCTTGATTTTTCTCACTTCCATAGTTTGGCTTTCAACAGCCTCTCTGGGTTTTTATAGGTTTTCTACATGTCTCTCTGGACAAACATTTACTCCACAGTCCAGCTGTGTTCCTTCGGACGCTACTGGGAGGCCATCGTACTGGTGACCCTGGCTGCCGTAGCAGTCACTGTAGTGGTGATACTGGTGATCGACCGTCGCCAGAAGAAGGTAAGAGGAGGCTGCTTGTGTGTGGGCACACAGTGCCTGGGGAGCAGGACTCCCTCCCACCAAAGTGCCGGGACCCAGGTCATCGCCTAGACACCTATGAAGAACATAGTTATCCAGGAAGGAAGGAATATTTTTACAGCAGGCTCGGAGCTCAGATTCAGGCAAGGGATGTTTTTCAGCTGACTTAGGTGTCGTAATGCCTAAAAAGTAGGTGTTGGGGCCTGGCAGGCTGGGTCAAAGTGCTTGCTGTCGCTGGAGGTGAAGCAACCACTGCAGAGCGTGGTTTGCACTCCCATGGCTGGTGGGAAGCCATGGGGTCTCGCCAGCAGAGCTGGCTCCTGCCCTGCTTCTGGCGACGGTCCTTGTGGTCTCGTTGTGTGCAGCCATTAATAGCATCGTTTGCTTGTGTTGCTGTGGTGCTCTGGACCTTGGAACAGGTCAGAAGCAAAAGGCAGCTCCTAAGCCATAGAAGTTGCAATAGATTATAAAACCGATGTAGACGAAGGAGACAGGGAGATGACGTTAGCATGAGAGGCAACCAGCCTGTGGCATCCACTCCTTGGTTGTTGTCAACTTTTGTTTGTAGGAATCACAGGAGTATGGATATTTCTAAGGTGTGATCTGAAGAGTAATATTGGAAAGGCTTGGTTCAAAATCCAGAGAGGTCTTTGCATTGATTTTAATGGATTTTGGAGCAAGCCTCTAATGACAGCTGTGCAATGATTCTTCCAAAGGGAAACCTGGCGAACATGTGGGTGCACAGAGGTTCAGGAAAGGAGTCCTTCACCCAGGGACTGCTGGGGAAGGAAGAGAGAACATGATACTGGAAATTGATCCCACTTCAGACATCTTGTCTACAAGAGAAGTAATCCTTAGTGAGGTCTCTGGCTGCACAGACATCTGCTAGCGGTGGCGAGGCCGACGCTGATGGCTGGTGACAAGCCTGCCTGACTGTAGACTGCTCTTGTCACTGTTTCCCTTTCAGAGACGCGGTATTTGGGATTAGCCAACTACAGTTTGTAGCTGTAGGCTGGCCCAACTTTTACTGTACAGTGTGTTAATTTTTTCTGCATTCTTTAATAGATAAATATGAATACAGATGTGAGGCTGGCAGCTGTCAATGAAATCTTTATCAAACACGGTTTAATAGTGGGGATTACAGATGCCCTGGATGGGCCACACAACATCCTACAAGTATCCTTTCTGTAGGGAATCATTTGTACCCCTCCTGGGTAGTTAATGATGTGGAGGTATTTATTGATGTTATGATACATGAGGGTATCCAGTGGGTGGGATTTCTAGGATTTGGGTTTTCTCCTGTTGGATGGCATGAGGGACTGGGTATTTTTTCCTCTCCTATAAGTGGGGATTGAGATATGCCCAAGGGCAATTGGAAATAATGAGTCTAAAAGATTGAAGTGGGATTAGTCCTTTGGGTAGGCAATTATTCCTGCAAGTGTATTATACTTACATGACAGTGATGGTTCTTATTACGAGCAGAGTGACAACAATGTGCCTATGGCAAAAAAAAAAAACCCACAACACAGAAAACCAGAGTCCCCGTCCCTGGGAGCTCATGGTCTGCCTTGCAGAGACAAACTAAACCAACAGCATCCAAGTGTCTCTGCTTTCCGGGTGATTTGTAGCCCTGAGCTCCCTCCTTCAGGCACATTAGAGAACTTGGTTTCACAGCATGTGTGCCTGGGAGCCAGGTCTGTGGCTAACAAGCACTTCTGACCTTCGTGGCCTTTTAAAAATGCAGGTTGAAGAAACCAGGTAGGAGGAGGCTCATTTGCTGCTTTTTAGAGATACTTTTTTCTGGACTAGACAAAAATTTAAAGGAAAGAAGAAAGTTTTAAGACAGCATGAAGGTATTAAAGGAAGGTGAGAGAGACGGTCTCCTAGATTTGCTGGTGGACCCCACATTCCCCCTCATCCATACATACGGAGAGGTATGAAATAGAAATGGAGAGGGACCCAAGGCTGAAACACAGGTTCAGAGAAGGGGACAGCGAATACCGCAGGAGGGCTGGCAGGGGTGAAGTCATGCAGAATGCGGAGGAAACACTTAAGAACTTGATTTATGCATTTCTTCAGACCAACATAGTTTTGCACCTCAGTAAGTGAGGACTAATCCAAGGACCATTCACCTCTACCTACATGTCCCAGAACTGCCTGAGAGCACAAACAACCCATGGATTTACAATTTCTCAGTCCGTTCCAGTGTCAGATCCATTTTAACCCTCTAGCTTTTGCACTGCTCCTGAATCCCCTTGATGATGGCAGCTTGAGTAGGTAGACAAGAGCAGAACTTCGGCTGCCTTCGGGGGTGCTGCTGCTCTCAAAGCTGGCAGGACTTGCATCCCCAACACGTCGCTCTTGGTAGACTCTTTGCAAACAGTACCTCTGTCCTGAAGACAATCACCAAGTACAGTCAATTTTGTAAAAAATAAATGGCATGAATCCTTAGAAACAAAGGAAAGAAAGCAGGAAGGAGTTTAGGGGAGCTAAGTCAAGGCGACCCACCAGTTTATTTAGATGTAAGGCCGCTGAGATGAGTGACGGGCAATGGCCCTGTGTTATCCCAGTTTTCACCCCCCTGGGCGCAGCAGTGGTGCAAGAAGGTCTGGTGACCCTCTGGGGTAATGTCTCCCTTCCCTGCCACCCCTCCTTTCTTCCCCTTTACCTTGAGGTTTTGCCTTAGCCCAGACCCTCTTGGCTTAAAATCAGCCCTGCGATGTGTTACTTGGTTCCTGTGTCCTGAGCATCCCGTGGGCACCACCTGCCTTTCCTCCGCTTCCTGCGAGATCCGCACAGAGGCAGAGGGCTGTGGAGGGGGAAGCATGGGAAGACCCCATCCTTAACCCTGCCCATCCCAGCTGTGGTTCGTGCACTTCAGCCCGGAGCAGTGCCTCCAGTCCTTGTCAGCCCACATCATGGACCTGCAGAGGACACAAGAGGTAAATGATTGTGGGCACAGCTCGAGCTCCCGCAGGGACATGTACAAGTCCACCCCTACACCCCAGCTTTGGTGGGATGGAGGTGGGCAAGGAGAACCAAGTGTTTGGGTGTCCTCCTGGGCATCCCCTGCTGTGAACTGGGAGCTGGACAAATGGGGAGGTGGATAAACTGCATCTGTCGGTGCACAGT